GTACCCCCCCCCCCCCGGATTGAAAGAATTTGACACCAAGCCCTGAAAGGTTTCAGTCAAGCCAAATCTACATTGATCGGCCTTCAAGCTTTCACCCAGTGCTGGCTGAAGCTCAGTGAGGAAGGAGGTCTCTGCTCCCATCTACTAGTGAAGCGGAGGAAGGGCTGGCACGGACCAGGCCTCATTTGCACCTTGGTTACCCCCAGCATTCGAGAGTCAATGTTTTGGTCTTTGGGTTAAAATGCATTGAAGTTTTGGGTGCGTGGCAAATGAAATTGTGGCTATTCTTATTGTGGGATAAAAGGGCAACAGGGCTGTGGTTTATATGCCCTGAGTGAGGGAGCTCACCCTAAGCGAAACTTCTAGCGCCGAGCAGTGGGCAGTGGAGGTTGAGCATAGACCAGAGAGTTGAGAACTGTATTTTCTGATATGGGGAGAAGGACCTGGAGATGGACCTCCTGAGATCACACCCAGATGCTGGAATTCCACTCCCCCAGCCTGTGAGTGGGGTGTAACAAAGTGGGGACCTGGAAGATCCTGTGGTGGGGGGTGTCTTACTTCACACTGTTTGTTAGGGAAACTGAGAGGCAGGACTGTTCCTCGAGATCTAATGGGGTAGGGTGTTTCCCTTACTGGTTACACATACACATTGTGGACTGGTCATTGCTACATATGCCCAAATTAATGCTCATGAGACAAGCCGTTTACCAGGTTTGGCTAGAAATCCTTTTAGCCTGGAACCAGCACTTCTCCCAGTTCAGTCTTTGTTCCTCAGGTGTTTCCGGGAGTGTCCTTGCAGGGGGAGTGAGGCCACTTGATGATGTCACACACACCCTTATATAGCTTTAACATATGGCGGGAATTCTTTGTCCAAAAACAGTTCCCAGCCCAGTTTGTGGGAAAATGCAGGTATCACGATGGAGGTCAGTGTCATGTGGGCTGAAATACAGAGCCATAGTCAATATTCATAACCTTAGACACAAAAACGATACAGGTCCACAAAGAGGATAATCCTATTCAGCAACTCCTCACTTTTCCACCGACACCTCACAAAACGTCTCTTGGACAAGGTGCAGCATAATGGTGCCAGAATCCCACCATCATGATCCCACGATGATGAATGTGGGGTGCAGTGTCACATAATCGTCCCGCTCTGCTCGGCACTGGGGAGGCCCCAGCTGGAGTCCTGTGTCCAGCTGTGGGCTGGCACTTTAGAAAGATGTGGACAAACTGGGGAGAGTCCAGAGAAGAGCAAGAAAAATGATCCAAGGTTTAGAAACCCTGACCTAGGAGGAAAGGTTACAAACTCTGGGCCTGTTTAATCATGAGAAAAGCCGACTGAGTGGGGACCTGATAACAGCTTCAGACACGTCCCGGGCTGTTATAACGAGGACAGAGATCAGTTGTCCACTGAAGGTAGGACAGGAAGTAACGGGCTTAATCAGCAGTCAGGGCGATTTCAGTTCGATATTAGGAAAAACTCTCTAACGCTCAGGGTCGTTCAGCTCCGGATCAGGCTTCCCAGGGAGGTTGTGGGATCCCCGTCACTGGAGGTTTTCAGCGGATGGTTGGACAAACCCCTGTCACTAGGTTTCCTTGCTCTGTCCTCTGCGCAGGGCCACAGGGGGTTGGACTAGGTGACCTCTCATGGTCCCTCCTATCCCGACATCTCTCTGGTTCTCTGTAAGGTCGTGTGGGGAAGCTGTTGGGAGCAGGCCCTGCTCGGGTCCCACAATGCTAGGGGAAGGAAGGGTGAGAGCCCAAAACTGGATAAACCTTGGAAGGACCCTCCACAGCACTGAGCTGAGTCAATGCAGTGGTGCGTCGGACAC